AAGATGGCATGGCATAAAAGGGGAGAAAAGTTCTGTTGTTAAAACAACAACAGAACAACTCCGCACAGCATCTTCTCCAAGCCCCCCCCCTCCAACTCTGGTTCTAAATTAGAGGGTGGGAAACTAACTCTGCTCCCACACCCCAATCACCACAGAAGTACTTTTCTTTTGGAAAACCTCTTTTTAAAAAAAATCTGAAAAATCAGTCCCTTTACTCTAAGTGTCGTCAAGTTGGAACAGACTTTTAGTGACCCTTAATAGGACTTTAATGGTAAGTGAGATATTTAAGGAGAGGTTTTACCAGTTCTACGTCCTCTGTGAGTTTGCATGGCTGAGTGGGGTTTTGAACCCAGGCCTCCTGAGTCCTAGTCCATCACTCTACCCACTACACCGCACTGAGTATCACTATATTCTAATGGTTTCAAATTGGGAAGGGACCTGGAGCCTTAAACATGGCAAAATCCCCCCTCATTCCCCCCAGAGGTCACAAGGGAACATCCAGAGTATTATAAGTTCTTTTTCCACAATTGCTAAGTCCATTAGTTCCATAGTCTCACTGTTGCCTCTTCATGTGGCCAGCACAGGACAAACATTCGGTTTGCATATGAATTCCATCAAATAGTGGTGACACAATTGTGTAAACAAGTCCCGCTTGGCTGCCATGACAGCTATGCTTGACTAATGTCGACCAAACTAGATAGTACAGTCAGCACATCATTTGAAGCAGAGCTGCCTGAAATGATTAGAAACACATCCAATTGTCACAGTATGGGCTTGCCTCACTCACAGGTTTCAAATCAGTTCATGCTTATGTTGGGATTGAGCTTCTGGAAGTACAAACAGGCTTCGTTGTGAGACTGGTGGTGCTTTGAAGGAATGGCAAGCCAAGAGGAAAAGCTTTGGAACAGCTGGGCATGTATTCATTTCACTGAACTTGTTATTTGACCATTAGTCTGCCCCTAGCTTTTCAGAAAATTGTTGCATTTGGCCAATTTTCCTGTGCCTTCATTTCCCCACAGGCTTGCAAAGAAGCAGTTCGTTCTCTTACCCTGAATCCTCTGCCGCTTCCCAGAGCAGGGGCCGCTCGCCTGGCTGCCCTGGTGGTTCCACTCTGCCGAAAAGCTCGGGGGTGGCATCGGGGTGCTGTGCGCTTGCTGTAGTTCTGGAAGGAAAAGAAAAGATGCTCCCGTTCCCGTGTGACTAGTTGGGTGTGTCTTTTTTGCATTCATTCCCGCTGAGCTCCAACCTGTAGCCAGCAGGGATGCCAGAACCACAGAAGCCGCCCCCCACCCCCCAAATTTCCCTGTTGCTCAGCGGAGGTCTTGGTCCAAAACAGGAAGGACTTTATATCCCCCTCCTTGCCAAGGACAGAGCTCAGAAAAATTGCTTAGTGGCTGGGAAATTCTGGAAGGACCTCAAAGTAAATGTTTCCAAGCTTTTAATGAAAAGGACCCACTGGTTTAACGAGCCAAGGCAGGGTGACGAGTCCAACTCTGAAGACTGAGACTATTTTGCTGCCACAGTTTGGGCAGCTTACCAGATGGGGGCACAGAGCATCAAGCGTTCCTAGTTCCCGGCTTTGCTGAGGCTAGCATTGCTCAAGCGGCAGAGAAGAGGTGCCTGCTAGCAACAAAACCAAGGTGGAAGAAGGCAGCTTTGGCGGCAGTCCTGTGTTGTTGCTTTTTGCGAGTGTGATATGGTCCCTGGAAGCCAGACTCGACTGTTGAGCCGAAATTGGTTTAGCAAAAAAAATAAAAGCAGGAGAATTAAGACACCTTGAAGACAAACAGGCTTGTTTTGGTGTGCTTTGTGGGTTGTAGGCCTCAGACACATAGCGCTTAATAAGCCAAAGGCAGATTCATGATGCATAAATCACACTGTGGAGCGGTGTAGGCCTGCTCTTTGGCTTACAGGCTGCTCCCCAGTTTTAACTATGCACACACAACTATGCAGAGACCGGAATAGGGCCCTGCCTATTGTGTCCCTTCATCTACTCTGGAGGCAACCTATCAGGCACCCAAAATATCACTTTCAACACTAGGGGCTCAGCCCTGGTGATCCAGGTCACCCCTTGCCAGCAGTGCCCCGCTTTGCCCTTCAACACAGGACAACAGGACTATCTTTATGCCAAAATAAATATAAAGGGACAATCATATCAGGAATGGCAGCACACGGAAACTAGTTTCAGAACGTTTTGGCCTCCAGGACACTTTGTTATGCGGTAATGAATCTTTCGTCATTAAAGTACCGCAACGCTTCTGGTTTTCTTTTTTGCTGTCCATGCAGAAACAGGCGAATGCAGCCGCCTGAAAACAGGCCAGCGTTACAGGTGACCCTCGGGCATCGAGTGGGGGGGGTGAGGCCTTTCTGAGCCGTGGGGCTTGTTTCTCAGCAACCCAGCCCTTCGGTGTCCTCTGCACGGAGGGTGCTTCACTCTGCATCACTCATGGCAATTAGCAGGCTCAGCAAGCAAATTAGCTTTTTCAAAATTGAATTCCGTGAAAGTTGCAGCACTCCCTGTCTACCTGAACTTTGGGAGGAATTCAATTAAGGCCTCCTGTGAACCACTGGTTTCCTGGCGGCGGGGGGGGGAGGCAGTGTCACCAAGTGCAGGGGTGGGGAGGAAGACTTTCCCTTCCATCCCTGAGGCTCTGCTTGAATGCTAGGATTTTCTGTTTCAAGACACAGGGTTGCCTTACATAATCCACTAATTCCTTTGTTACAGTGGTTCCTAAGGTTGGTTCCCCAGATGTTCTCAGACTATAATTCCCAGAAGCGCTTCACCACAAGCTGTGCTGGCCAGGATTTCTGGGAGTTGTAGCCCAAGAACATCTTGGGGACCCAAGGCTGGGAACCACTGCTGTGGGGGGACCCAAGGCTGGGAACCACTGCTTTGGAACATAGAGTTTGCCAACTTTTTTTTCCTGACAAAACCCCTGTGCATTTAAGGGCTGCATGTCAGAAAAGGCTATTTCTATAGCACCTTGCTGCAATAAGCTTCAGTTGCCAAGTTTCTTACTGTTATCCAGATCTTAAATGCATAGGAACACTGCTGGAGAAAATGTTAGCAACCCTATTTAGAGACCTCCGTTCTTTGAGCTGTTTAGCAACTCCCAGGCCTTGCGTAGCCATACCTTTCTTGCTGTTTTTCTCCCAGGATCCCTGGATGAGGAGACTGGCTAATCAAATAAATAAATAAATAAATAGAGTTTGACAACTTTTTTTTCCTGACAAACCCCCTGTGCATTTAACAGCTGCATGTCAGAAAAGGCTATTTCTATGGCACCTTGCTGCAATAAGCTTCAGTGGCCAAGTTTCTTACTGTTATCCAGATCTTAAACGCATAGGAGCACTGGTGGGAAAAATGTTAGGAACATTTAGAAACCTCTGTTCTTTGAGCTGTTTAGCAACTCCCAGGCCTTGCGTAGCCATACCTTTCTTGCTGTTTTTCTCCCAGGATCCCTGGATGAGAAGACTTGGGAGGAGACCGGCTGACTTCCATGGCCCTGACTGTGTCCCTCCCTTGACACTGGGGCTGTCCATTCTCGGCTTCTGGCTGCAGTGAGGTAGGAGCCTCTGGTCACCAGCCGGTGCAAGTTCCAAAGTATGCAGGCTGGAGTGGGAAGAGGGAGGCAGAGGCACCCCATAGAAGGTCTTCAGGTCTTTCACAGGGAGATCCACGAACAGCGTCCCATAGAGGCTGCTGCTCCTGCCATCAGGCACCAAAGGGAGAGTCTGGATGCCGGATCCCTGGCTTTGCCTTTCGAAAGAAGCTGCTGGGGGTGGACGGGGAGGAAGCAAAATGCAAGAAGGAAGTACCTGCGAACATGAGCATCTGCTCTACCGTTAGAGTTAAAAATCCCAACACCTGATTTAAAAGGTATACTTTTGCGTGGAGGCATCAGAAAGACACTGGGCAACACTGTAGGCAGTGTCTGGATGCCGGATCCCTGGCTTTGCCTTTCGAAAGAAGCTGCTGGGGGTGGACGGGGAGGAAGCAAAATGCAAGAAGGAAGTACCTGCGAACATGAGCATCTGCTCTACCGTTAGAGTTAAAAATCCCAACACCTGATTTAAAAGGTATACTTTTGCGTGGAGGCATCAGAAAGACACTGGGCAACACTGTAGGCAATAGGAAGACTGAACATGAGATGGAGTGATTCCATAAAGGAAGCCACAGCCTTGAGTCTGCAAGACCTGAGCAGGACAATGAATGGCCAGACTTCTTGGAGGTCATCAATTCATAGAATTCATCAGAAGCAAGATGAGGGTAAAGGTAAAGGTAAAGGTTCCCCTTGACTCTAGGAGGAAACAAAATGCAAGAAGGAAGTACCAGCGAACATGACCATCTGCTCTACCGTTAGAGTTAAAAATCCCAACACCTGATTTAAAAGGTATACTTTTGCGTGGAGGCATCAGAAAGACACTGGGCAACACTGTAGGCAATAGGAAGACTGAACATGAGATGGAGTGATTCCATAAAGGAAGCCACAGCCTTGAGTCTGCAAGACCTGAGCAGGACAATGAATGGCCGGACTTTTTGGAGGTCATCAATTCATAGAATCACCCTAAATCAGAAGCAACCTGATGAGGGTAAAGGTAAAGGTTCCCCTTGACAATTTTTTTTTGTCCAGTCGTGTTCGACTCTAGGGGGCAGTGCTCATCCCCGTTTCCAAGCCATAGAGCCAGCGTTTTGTCCGAAGACAATCTTCCGTGGTCACATGGCCAGTGCGACTTAGACACGGAACGCTGTTACCTTCCCACCGAGGTGGTCCCTATTGATCTACTTGCATTTGCATGCTTTCGAACCGCTAGGTTGGCGGGAGCTGGGACAAGTGATGGGGGCTCCCTCCGTCGCGTGGATTCGATCTTATGACTGCTTGGTCTTCTGACCCTGCAGCACAGGATTCTGCGGTTTAGCCCGCAGCGCCACCACGTCCCTTAACCTGATGAGACAGGACACGAAATGACAACCTCTTGCGTGCCGCACTGCTGCCATGTCCTGAGCCGGGAACGTGCCCCACCACCGGGCAGAGTGGGCAACCGCCTCCGGCGACAGATGCGGGAGGGCAAAAGTGGCAGCTTCTTCCATCTGTTTGTGTTGGCTGCCTTCACCCCACTTAAGAGGATGCAGCTGGTGCGTGCCTCACAACCTGTTCTGCACTCCCTCAACTAGACTGCCACCCTCACAAGTAGAGATGGACAACCCCGTGGCAGCTGTTGAAGTAATATATGCTGCGACTCCCGTTGGCCTTGTTAGGTAGACCCAGGGTGGAGGGGCAAGAAGAGGAGGCTCCATCTTGTCCATGGCCTCGGGCAGCACAAGGGCGGTGGCCGCATTCCATTCAGCTACCATGAAACCTGAAAAGATGCTACCTTTCCCACCAGGCCATCTGCCACTTTGCATAGGCCTGCATTTGGCACTTAGCATATTCCTGCGTAGGCTGTGTTGTGAAGCACAAAATTGGTTAATCCCATTTGATACTGTGCCCGCTGGTAGTAAACCTCCAGGATCTTTTGTAGTTTCAATAGCTGAGATCTTTTATCGCTCGAGGTGCTGGGGATTGTGTCTGGGCTCTTCAGCGCACAGATGATGTGTGCTAGCACAGAGCTGCAGTCCATCCATGCCTGTGATAAAAGTTACAGTACTGTTTTAGACCAGTGGTTCTTAACCTTTGTTACTCAGGTGTTTTTGAACTGCAACTCCCAGAAACCTCAGCCAGCAGAGCTGATGGTGAAGGCTTCTGGGAGTTGCAGTCCAAAAACATCTGAGTAACAAAGGTTAAGAACCAGTGTTTTAGACGACAGCTTCCAGAACTCAACCCCCAGCATGGCCAGTGCTAACTGTTCTGACCTCGGCATGTTGTCCAAGTGTTGGCGGGTTTTACAATGCTCTTGGCAACTTTGCATGTTTCTCTAGTATGTTATGTGCCTTTTTTGTGTTCTGAACTTTTGTAAACTATCCCAGGAACAGGGTCGAAGGAAAGGACAAAGAGGACTCTCTCTCCAAGCTGGACATTCATCAGAGATTCAGAAGGCAACAACAACAACATGTTATTGGTGAGCAAAGCTTACTAGATTTGAAACATTCTTCTTTGGGTTCAGTCCATAGCAGTTGGCTGCTCAAGCTGCTGCTGGTGCTGTAATTCTTGGATCCTGAAGTAGATTTCCACGTGTTTGAAAGCCATGGGGAATCACTGGCGTCTACCCTATAGTCAAGGGAAGCATAAACACAATAAACACACTCTCATGAATGGACAGTTGATGGGGAGAAGAACCCAGTGGGGGGAATCACTGGCGTCTACCCTATAGTCAAGGGAAGCATAAACACACTCTCATGAATGGACGGTTGATGGAGAGAAGAACCCAGTGGTGTCTATCAAGCTGGAGTCTGTGGCTCACGTTCATGTGTCTGCTTAGGAAAATGGGCAGGAGTATCCTGCATCTACCAGGAGCCCAGGAGCCTTTGGAGATAACCAGGGAGTGGAGGTCAGTAAAATGAGTACCCAGCTTGCTGGGAAGGCAATGAGTAGCCTGCATAATTAACTTCTAAACCGCCCAGAGAGTGCTTGAAGCGCTATGGGGCGGCATATAAGCAGCACGCTTTGCTTTTTTGAGTCTGTGGCTCACGTTCATGTGTCTGCTTAGGAAAATGAGCAGGAGTATCCTGCATCTACCAGGAGCCCAGGAGCCCAGGACTGGCCCATTGCCTTTGGAGATAACCAGGGAAGATAGTCCTTTCCTTGAGAGTCTCCCAGAGAGCTCGTCCTCTATTTGAAAGGCTGACCGGTGCAAGCATGAAAAGAAAACATCATAAAGAGGGATAACCTGAAGTCGGGCATCCACACTAAGCCCCAGAACAACAGATTCAGCTGGCATGCCTTGTTAGGCTTTATAAACAGTGCAATGCTGTTCACACTATAAACATAATTTCTAATGTTGCCTCTGTACGTGTCAGTTAAGAGAAGGAGTTTTATGCAAATGAGTGTCCTCATCCTTTCTTGACAGTGCCCTAACTGCCCAGATAGCTCAGAGAGTTTGGTCTCCGGCTGCCGAGTCTGAGGCTGGGAGTTCGGTTCCCCCACTGGGCCCCAAAGGCCCTTGTGGGCTGCATCAGCCTCTTTCTGTGAACCCAAAAGTTCATGCCTGGCTTGGAAAAACCACAGTCGATTTGGGGAGGGAAAACCAGAAGGCTGATTTTGCCTTCTTGGTTTTAGAGGAGAAATTGTTGTAAGTCCTTAACTTAGAACCGCTCACTTCCAAAAGTTACATTGTCTGTGTACCTGCACAACAAGATTTTAGCCATTTATTTCTTGTGGGGAAAGGCAACTATGGGCGGCCATAGAATTTCCCCCTCCAACCCCTGAGGTGGCTAGGGGTGGGGGGCAACTAGAAGTGAGTTAACTGCAGCACTGAAGAAAGGGGCTGTGGAATTAAGACCTCTAAGAAGTACAGGTCCATTAGTAGCTTGGAAATTCTCATCTGCCCTGCATCTTCATTTACATAGATAGCACTAATGAATTACAGAGTCATATGCCTCTTTGCATCAAAACCCATCCTCCCATTTTGTATCGGAGAAGCGAGAAGAATAAACAAATGTATCTCTCAATTTATATTCCTGTCACCACTTTTGATGTCAAGGCCCAAGGACATGCATGGATTTGCACTGGTGTCACATTACAGAAAAGGAACAATAAAGAAAGAAAAAATCAAATTAACACCTGTTCCTCACCATAGCGTTTGGAAGATGTTGATTACTTCCTGCCTTATCCCTGATTTCACAATATCTACACACACACACACACACACACACTCCGATGTGGCCTCAATCCCAAGAGTTTCAGGGACCTGCAGGTTACCTGTGTTTGATGATGGTGTCATCGCTTGCATTCCTATATAAACCTGGAAAGAATGAAGTGTAGTGTAAGAGACTTTATTTTCGCTTAGGGTTCATTCGTGATTTATGTGTCACCGCTGACAGTAGCACTCTTCACAATTGAGCATTAAGAGCCCTTCTAAGCAGGAAAATTGGCATTAGATAGAGAAGTGACTTTTGTTTTAAAGAGAGAAAAGGGTGCTTGTGGAAACACAGCTGGAATGAGAGAAGCAGCTAGTGTGGGGTCCTTGAGCCTCTCCATATTCCCTAGTTTCCTCACTGCAAAACCACCACCACCACCAATTTCCGAACTGCTTTTTGTTCTGGAGGATTGCAAATGCATTCGCTTTACAAAACTGTTCCCAGAGATTGGACCACGAGGGCTGTGAGGTGATGGAAATGACATTCATAGCATCATAGAATCATGAAGTTGGAAGGGGCCTATAAGGCCACTGAGTCCAAGCCCCAGCTCAGTGCAGGCATACAAATGAAAAGAGATCTGCCAGGGGGTTGTCTAAATTTCTCTTGAAGGGCTCCAGTGTTGAAGCACTTTCTCCAGATAATTGGTTCCATAGCCGTACTGCTCTAAGAGTTAAGTTTTTCCTGCTATTCAGTCTAAATCTGGCTTCCTGTAACTTGAGCCCATGATTATGTGTCCTGCAAGATGATCAAGACCAGAATATGCCCCTCCTCTGTAGGACTGCTTTTCAAGTATTTGGAAACTGCCATCATATTTCCCCTCCGTCTTCTTTTCTCAAGGCTAAATATGCCCTGTTCTTTTAGTCGTTCCTCATAGGGCTTAGTTTCCAGTCCCCTGATCATCCTTGCTGCCCTCCTGCGCTCTGAGATGTTTGAAAATAGATCCTGCCCCACTTTCTCCAGATAATTGGTTCCATAGCCATACTCCTCTAAGAGTTACGTTTTTCCTGCTATTCAGTCTAAATCCGGCTTCCTGTAACTTGAGCCCATGATTATGTGTCCTGCAAGATGATCAGAATGTGCCCCTCCGCTGTACGACTACTTTTCAAGTATTTAAAAACTGCCATCATATCTCACCTCAGTCTTTTTTTCTCAAGGCTAAATATGCCCTGTTCTTTTAGTCGTTCCTCATAGGGCTTAGTTTCCAGTCCCCTGATCATCCTTGCTGCCCTCCTGCGCTCTGAGATGTTTGAAAATAGATCCTGCCCCTCCTCTGTATGACAGCCTTTCAAGTGCTTGAAGAGTGCTGTCAGATCTTAATACTTCTGGAGGTAACCACTTTGGGAAAGCAAAGATTCGTAGACAAAAAGAAGCTGGCACCTTAGTGAATTTGCTACCTTCTGCATGGCAAGGTGTTTAAAGAAGGAAGCTGTTCCACACAAACTTCTCCCAAAAAGGATACTGATTTTTTGTCATAATATAATATTTCACCCCATGTACGCACAGACTTTCCACCCCCCTGTTTTGTGGGGGAAAAGTGTGTCTTATGGTGCGAAAAATACGGTAATATTTCACCCCATGATCGCTCACTTTTTATATGTCATTCTGACTTTTCTTTTATCTGAGCCAGTGTATCCACCCAAAACCTAATATGACACCACTGAAATGCTATTCCTTCTATAAGCTTGAAGTTAGACTCTATATTTCCAACCAGATGTTGTCAGACTACAACTATTCATACTGGGTTCTGGGAATTCAAGTCCAACAACAGCAAGGGATCCAGAGAGGGGAACCACTACCCAGCATAAATGCCTCCCCCCCCCGCTACTTACCTTCGCCAAGGGCATACTGCCGCCCTGCACTATGCCTGGCTTGCTGTTGGCAAACATAAATGGCGAGCACCATCAGCATGATCCAGAGGGCAGAACCCATGCTGGCAATGAAGACAGGTTGGCGTACCACTTCCAGGATGTAGTTGCCAGACAGGAAGTCTGAGGCTTTTGCCATCTTCTCCACTGTAGGCTCTGGAAGGCAACAAGAGTTGATGATGAGGGTAAAAGGTTTTCCTTGACAATTTGTCAAGTCGTGTCGGCTCTGGAAGGCAACAAGAGTTGATGATGAAGGTAAAAGGTTCTCCTTGACAATTTGTCAAGTCATGTCGTGACTCTAGGGCGCAGTGCTCATCTCCATTTCCAACCCACAGTGCTAGCGTTTTGTCCAAAGACAATCCTCCATGGTCATGTGGCCAGCGCAACTAGACACGGAACGCCATTACCTTCCCACCGTGGTGGTACCTATTTATCTACTCATATTTTGCATTCTGCATGCTTTCGAACCGCTAGGTTGGCGGGAGCTGGGAAAAGTGATGGGGGCTCACTCCGTCACATGGATTCAATCTTACGACGGCAGGTCTTCTGACCTTGCAGCACAGAAGCTTCTGCGGTTTAAGCTGCAGCGCCACCACGCAAAACCACCTCACAAAAACAGCTCATAAAAGCAGATATGAATTCTGAGCCCACTCAGGGGGGAAAAACCCCTGACCTTATGGAGTGGGAGGCTGGGACTCAATTCAGTGGTGGACCCCCACCTTGTATGAATGCCGAGGGAGCCAGGCTTAATACTACCTCCTCCAAACAAAACTAGTCCAGTTGGTCCAGCCAGAGAAGACGCCTCGTCCTGTAACCCCTGGAGAACTGCTTCGGTCACAGTAAATAGCAATGGGCTAAAGAAAGAAGGTCAACCTGCAGCCCATCAGCCTTGCCCTTCTTTTTTTTTCGTTTTCATCACCAATGGAAACAGAAACTGCCATGTTCAATGTGGGTCAAAGGATGCAAGCACATCATTAGGAGGCAGAATTCCTTAAGTACCAGAAGATGCCTGATTGTCACACAGAAACTTTGTCCATCTTCTTAGGGTGCAGAACAGCTTGCTTTGGTTTGTGATTGGTCATCATCAGGAGGCAAATATTTGCAAGAAGGATGGCACAGGCATAAAGGTTTGCAGGGATCCCCTGTAATGTCTGGCCCTGAGAAAGAAGGTACACTAACAGCATGTCTTAAAGGAGAAGCAGCACCTAAATGCCCTTGTCATGATTCTCCCCTAAAATAAAAACTTTCCAAGATCCACAAATTTCTTCGTATATTTAAAGGGAAGAGTTTGAAAGTTGAAAAATCTGAATGCATAAGAAAGCAAAAATGATAGGGTTGTGTATCCCTGTTTTTAATGTCTATGGCCCTATCCAGAGGGCGTAAATGAATTTTAAGAGATTAAGATGAACATGTCACTCCTAAACAATATCTGGAGGCAAAAATATTGAAACTGAGACTGTCCTACGTTGGGCACGTCATGAGAAAGCAAGATTCATTGGAAAAGACAATAATGCTAGGAAAGGTTGAGCATGGCAGGAAAAGAGGAAGACCAGATATGAGATGAACTGACTTCCTACAGGAACCACAGGCTTGAGTTTGCAATTGCTGAGAAGGGCTGTTGAAGATAAGACATTTTGGAGATCTCTCATTATTAGGGTTGCCATGTCAGAGGAGACTTGATAGCATTGTCAGAACATAACAACAAGAAGTTCAAAAGAGCTTATCTCACCTACAGCGCTGCATACAGGATAACTAGTCACTCCAATTCCTGCTCCGTTGACCGCTGCTACCTGGACACAGTATTTTAGCCCATTAGCCAGGCCTGTCATTTCTAGACTATGCGTTCCTCCATCAACGGTCTTGTTCGATCTGTGATGTGTTTCATTGCCCAGAAACCAGATCTTTTAAACAGAGAAAGATTTTTAAAAAGGCAGTCTGTATCAAACAAGGCAACGCAACTCAGCATTTCTGTAGAATAGAAATTACATGAAACTAACTAAACATGATCCATGGGGACACACAGCTAGCAAAACTATATCAGATAAAAGGCTAGTAGAAGAAGCCAAAGAACTCATCAGAACATGAATCTACTGCTTTTGTACCTGCTTTCTGCATACAGTATATAAACAGTATGCATTAAAACAAAACTGAATCAATAATGTAGGGGAGTACGACCCTCAAGGAAAACCACTGGTTATCAGTTGAAGCATTGCAGCCACATGGCTTTTGGCTTGCATCACTTCACCACTGAAGCTTCCGTCTTGCAAATTCTCAATGTTGCTCTACTTCAGTGCAATTCTAACTGGTCAAGACAGGAAGGGCAACTGGGTAATCATAAGCAAGATGAAGCTGGGTCAAGTCCGTACTCCTTCCAGTCAAAAGATATTGGGAATTACTTAGGACTGCCTTCACCCTGGACTAACCTTATGGCGTTGCCCCTGGGCATTTGCAGAAATGCATCCAACAGAACATGGTATCTCCTTCGCATCACCCTTAACCAACTCCCTTTCAAACTCTTCTGCTGGCAGAGTTTAACCTGCAGAGCAGTTCCTATGCCAGATCACATGTTTGGGAGATCTCTGAGATCAACCAGCAGAAACAGGTTCTGCCTGATCCTGAATCCTTCATGTGGCACATCTCTGAGTTAGGAGTCCTTTGCCTGTCATATTTCCTTGAGATTCTTTTGATGATTCACCATCTTCCAAATGCTCAGCTACCCAGACTTCAGACTGCATGCGTTTCTCTCCTCTCTTACCTGGTAGGCTTTAATAATGCCATTGCGTTCATCATGTGGAGGAGGTTCCCAGTGGATGATCACAGTCCCATTGCCACCTTGGATTGTGGCTATGCTGACGCTCTGAGGAGCAGCACTAGGCACTGAGAAGAAAGGATCGGTTTCCATAAAGACTTTCAGGAGACGTTGGAGTATCAATTATCAACACAATGCTTTAGGAATGGCGCCACTCCTTCACCTGCTATTCCACCTCTGCTCTGAATTTAGGAACATTTGTATTAACACTAACATGTCACTATTTAATTGTTAGAGAAAACTAATTAATTAACACTCACACCAGAGGTGCGCAACTGCTGGAGACTAAAGGGGCTATGCAAGCTGTCAGCTGGACCTTGGAAAAGGACACCAACATCCCATATTTTGAAATTTAGGCCAACATCTTGTTGAAAGAACATGGACCCACACAATGATAATGGTGTAAACAGCTTGCACACTTTGGTGAAACACCTGTTGTAGGACTGGGATTGACTTGGAGGTGTGGGGTTCCTCCCTCTGGGCCTTGCAGGGTCACATTCATCCAACCGGCCGCTTTTGGCCCTCTCCTTGCCTTAACTCAAACTTGCAGACTTTTTCTTCAGCCTGAGGATAAACATTTCCGAGAAATTCTCCAGAGGCTCCCCTCTGATATAGATGTGTCCAAAGGCAAAACACAGAATGTAAAATATCAGTGACACAGCAAAGGAGAATACCAGAAGGCCAGACAGAAGTCCAACGAAAACAGCGTATTGGCCTTAGGGCCTGTGATGCCCCAGCTGTGGCTAAAACATTGATACAAGTAAGCAGAATTAAATGTTTTGGTTGTTGTGGCTCTTTGGCTGTGTTCTGAAGGTTGCTACTCCTGTCTTTTGAAGATGCCGGCCACAAAGACTGGTGAAACATTAGGAAGAACAACCTTCAGACCACGGCCAAAGAGCCCGAAAAACCCACAACAACCATTAGATCCCGGCCGTGAAAGCCTTTGCAAAGAATTAAATGGTGTTCTTTGTTAACTACACACATGACTCTGTTTTGGCTTCATTCTACCCCAAGATAGACATAGGTTGACGTGAACACCACTGACACTCGCTGTGTATATACTGATTGTGTATGAGTTTGTTGCAGTCAAAAAAAGAAGAGCTGCTTGTACCTTCTTCAGGGATCCAGAGGTGTCTCATATTGCTGTCCGAGCCGTGGACCTTCCCTAAATATGGCCGCACCTTGAACTCATACGTATAACCTCTTTCCAGCTCTGGCACGATAGCTCGGTGGTTTCTTGGGACATTCCATTCCGCCCAATGAGTGCTCACAGGCAGCAGGGAACGGTAGAGCACCTTATAGCCTTCTATACGCTGTGCCTGGGTAATGGGGACAACCTTCAAAGTAATAAGAGAAGGCATTTGTGTTCACTTCCAAGCACGGTTAGCAGAAATTATTAACAATGGGCAAATCCATCACGCTCAGTTTCACTTAACTTCTTCTCCTTCTGCTCCTACAAAGTTCATTCTATCCCTTTTTCCTACCAGATTAACAGTTACCAGTTTTCAAATGATGTGCAAATTGATACACTTTTTTTAAAAAAGAGATACGCTATTCCAAGCAAACGTCTCCCCTGGATAAGCATTGTGTGCATTATTTCCCATATTTACATATTTTTATATATTTATTTGTTTTTGTACACTTTCAGAATTTTCTCTTTCTTTCTTTCTTTCTTTCTTTCTTTCTTTCTTTCTTTCTTTCTTTCTTTCTTTCTTTCTTTCTTTCTTTCTTTCTTTCTATCTTTCTTTCTTTCTTTCTTTCTTTCTTTCTTTCTTTCTTTCTTTCTTTCTTTCTTTCTTTCTTTTCTTTGAAGAAAAGAATATTTTGAGAACTACATGGTCAGGACCTTACGCAATTGCCCCTCTTCTCTGTCTTAAGCAACAGGATCCTGGCCACTGTGATTAACTATAAGGACCTCCTTAGACACAGCTTTGTTCAATTACAGGCTCTCTCCTCCACCCCACCCCAACCCATAGTTCTTATTATTTCTGACTTACCTTCCAGTGCAGCTGGGCTGCTGGAGCAGAAGGGGCAGCAGTGACATTTAGCAGGTAAATCCTGACATCCATTAGCTCTTTCAAAATATCTTCTGGCTTGTCCCATTCCTTCTGTCCAGTGTCTAATGGATCTAAAGGCCAAAAAAAAGGAAACCTAGTGCGTATCTTTGGTGAACCTCAACTAATCTCATCTAACCAAAGGAGAATGACATGAGCAGCTTGTGAGTCCCCTCCTGTTCAGTCCATCAGCCACCCATGGATGGTGAGTTTTCTTGTCTTTCCTCTAAAGCAATCTAGAGAGAAGGACAGTCACCATTAGGGATGGGCACAAATCAGAAAAATGGTGATTTGTTTTGATTCATGATTCATCAAGGTTGACAAATCATGAATAATGAATTTACAGGGTTTTTTGTGACAAGTCGATGAATCAATTTGTTGATTCATTTTTGCCTTTTAAATCTGATAAGATGCACCAATTTCAGAGAAGATCACTATAATGCTTCTCTACAAGCCCTGCAAGTTTGGTGATGTTTGGGTTTTGGACATCCGAGTTATACACCCACAAAGTGGGTCACACACACGCAGGAAAGTGCCCTTTAGCAGCTGGTTGGGGAAACGCAATATTCACCAAACTTGGAGGGATTGTAGAGGAGAGTCAGGGAAGTATTTATGTGATTTTATGTCTCTAGGTACCTGAGGGGAACTTTCCTGGGGGGGG